ATATATATACAAGTTGCACTGTACGTGTCGCTGCACTTCCATTCGCATAAACATATCTATACAGAGAGAGGAACAACTCTTGGGTCTGCGTGCACATGTTATATACACTCGTCTTGCGCTGCAGTCTCTTTCACCTGGTTCATTGTGCAACGCTTCAGTCTCTTTCTTCGATCTGTGTGGAGAGAGGTGGATGTGCAAAGGCACCTCTTCGTCAGGTCAACCTTCTTTGGTGGCGATGCAGAGGATAAGTGAGTTTGGGCACCTGCATCGTTGTCTTCAAACGATGGTCCTTGAACCGATGGACCGATGGATGAAGCAATTTTTGCGAACCTGTCCACACTGCTGCAGATGTTTGTTGACCCCCGTGAAAAATGCAAGCAGTCAGAGTGAGATATCAGCGATGATCACGAATTCATGCTGAGCAATGGGGTTTATGAGAGGTGGCCCCACAGCCTGAAAATCTAAGCAGGCATAGCAGGCCGGACCGCCCTGTTGTTCCTGCTGTTGTTAGGTCACACGGTCACAAAGTACAAGACCTGAAGCTGAGAGGCTACAATATTAAAGAGTCACTTTGGCTCTTGAGCCACAAACTCCAACCCCCCGCTGCCGCCTGATGAGCTCGGCAGACCAAATCCATCTCGTGCTTCCTTGTCAGGTGACGCAATGAAAGCGAAGGTTGAATTGAGTGAAAGATAGCGGGTAGGCATCGGTAGGTTCATGTAGGTGTCGCAGTTGCATAAACTGCAAATGTGTGTCTGGACTCTTGCTGGAAGTGCTCGCAAATTCGCAAATGGTCTGGGTATCTTCGGGCAAGGCTCTGCAAAAAGGTTGATACCACATCAGGTCCAAAAATGAAGGAGACACCGCGATCATTCTCAGCCCACCCAGCAATATCCTCGCGTCCAGCAGGGCGTCCCAAGAATATTCTAGTTCAATGACATTCAAATGTGCCAACATAACAAAATTTGCTGAGATAAAATCACTCTCCCATGCTCTGTGTGTTTTAGAAAGATAGTTCAAGCGAACCGATTCCCTCCTTATCCGGATCTGCCCACAAGAGGTCGCAAATCAAGCCAGTATCGGGCACATCAGTTGGCCTTCCAACCAGTTGCACCACATCTCTCTTGACTGCTTTCCGCTTGAATGCACTCAAGTCACTCGAGCCCACCTCACCAGCCTTTTGATTTGATCAGGAGATGTGATCTCTGGGGACAATCCACCTGCAGCCAGCTCCAAGCGCCCTCTCTCGTTGTGGAAGGGCAAAGAAGTAGAACCACTCTCTGACGAGCCACCGTGCATACAAATGATTTTCTCATCAATGATGGCACATACAGACATACAGTTGAAGACGTCGCAGAACTGCTTCCAAAGCCTCAGCTTTTGCCGCACAGCTTTTCCTCAGAACACAACCGTTCAAACTCGGCAGAATCTGCGTTTGAAGGGCTTGATGTTGTAGCGCCTTTTGCACTCATCGTAAAAGCCTGCATGAACGGAACGAACAGCGCGAGAAAATAACACTGCGCATGCTGAGCCTGCATCATGGACACGGTAGAACACAGCCAATGCACAGTGTCACGAAACCCTCAAGAGCATCACTTGACCAGCTTTACCAAGGCAATCCAAGTCGCCATAGATTCGCGTGATTGAAGCACACTCGTGGTTCCCTCGCAGCAAGAAGAAGTTCTCAGGAAACTTGACCTGGCGGTACGTGTGGGAAAAACGGGAAAGAGAGACCGTTCAATCCATTTCCATTATATATCAGCATTTTGCTTTCTTGCCTTGTAGGAAAAGAGCAGGATGATCGTCTCAAGGCTTTGTTTGCCTCGATCCACATAATCACCCAGGAAGAGGTATTTGCTCTCCTGGCCAGATGTGTCCGCAAGGGCTTGACGTGCTTCTCTCTGTTGACCAGGAATTGCAAAAACGCATAGGCATAGAGGCAACTCTGCCAAGGTGCAGGTGGGAAGCCGCCATATTCGAACAGGCGAAGCAGGTCATGGTATTGGCCATGCACATCCCCACCTCAAGAGAGTCAGCAAATTCCATCCTCCTTGTGGTCAACATCTTGCCTTGGCATGCCTTGGGCTCCCTTCTTTAAGCCGCTACCCCCCGGTATCAAGCAGGTATCCAAACGATCCGATCGCTTCGCAGGTCGATCTGGAAACCCGTTTTGGCCGTACCAAGCTGCAAATCTTCAGGGGAGCTTCCAACTCAAGCAATGCCTCAGGCCGCAAAGAAGGGCACGTGGCAATGGCACACTGCGTGTGCCTTGTGTGCCTTTGCAAGAGTAAGACCTGATGCGTGATGAGGGCCAGAGATGTGGGTGAGTTAAGAAATAGCGAGAGGTGATGAAACGATAATATGAGCAATAATAGCAATGCGGCAACAATAAGAGGAGGGTATTCTTTTTTGTGTACATGCTATCTTCACCCACCTGCAAGAATGGGTTTCAACGTGGACCTCCAGCTTCGAGGCCACAAAGAAGGATTGCTACTGCTGAAGTCGATGATCAAAGGGAAAACTCATTCAACATGTGCATATATATATATATATCAAATAGTTATATATATATATACATATGAATCTGACGACGCAAACGCTAAACTAAACAGAATGCGTGTGGCTCGGCCCATACTTTGAAGACGGTCAATGACAGCTTCTGCATGGTTCTGAACTATTTTCACAAGCCAGGGATGGTCCGCAAACTACACATGTGTCTGAAACTATATGGTTGGGAAACTGCCTATGTGTTGGAAACAGTTTCGGACACTAATTAATTATGTGTTTTCCTGAAATTATGAAACCATGTATTGAAAGCTCTATGATTTTCGGAGCCACCTAACCCCCTGTCCAAGCCAGCAAGTTACATACCGTTGCAATTGTGGTTTTTCAAAGGCCTGTAGTAGTAGCTTCAGAAGGTGGTGTCTGAAGCGTGTTTTTTGAAACCCACATAGTACTGAAACGTGGTTCTTGAAACGTAGTTTCTGAAAGGGAGTTTAATGCTTTGAGGACCGACAGTGCACTTTAAGCATGGATCAGCAAAAATACCATGCTGGAGAGGATTTGTCCCGTTCGTTTTTTCCAAGATTTCATCGAGAAACAACTGCAATAGAACACTGCACACGCCTCCAAAAGATACAAGTTGTTTGAGATGCTGGGCACCCCACACACTTCCAGTCTCAGTGCATGGTCAGTATCGCTTCTGCCCAATGTTGGGCAGGATTTACTATAAAGAGACTAATTTAGCAGCAAGCCACGATGCAATGGCAGGGCTCAACCCTGAATATCCAAAGGAAGAAGGACATTCAAAAACAACCTGCTTCTCACAGGCCTGGGTCTAGCTTCAAATCAACCAAGATACACTTTGCTCCAAGAAGACTGTGCGGGCAGCACTGCACAAGCCTTTGACCTGTGCCTCTGGGATGTTCACAAGTTTTCCAGGCTTTCCTGCGGCAACAGGCTGCCTTTCTTCCATCCACCAGTGCAGTGTGGCACCACTTCCAACTCAGATCCAGCATAAAACCACATGTCTTGCAAACTGCAAACGGCCTCCCTTCACTTCCAAGCACTTGTCCACAATGTCCTGGGATGCGCTTGGCTTATACAGACACAACACAAAACAGTTGACAATATGTTGTGCTTGCTATATTTCTGTGGACAGTGTGTTTAACTTGGTGCGGGTTAAGTCTACAGCATCACACCTGTCGGAAAAGCATTGAACACAAAGCAAAGACAAACCTATCAAGCTCGAGCTATATAATTACACCGCCGGGGAAGAGGATGGCACAATTTTTTCAATGACCAGTGGTTAACGGCCTAAAGGTAGATTGCGCCAGGTGTGCTCCACCTGAACGCCAAAATAACCTATTGATTGCGCAATTCAGCCTTTTCTGGCCGCAAATGTAGCGAGAGCGGCTTGCAAGAAACGCTGCCAAAAAAGGGTTATAGAAGGCGCAAAGCCATACATACATGTCAGAATTGGGCCAGGAATACAGTATCCTGAAAGTCAAGAATGGCAAAGAACCTTTTCTTCTCAAGCCACGGGAAACAGTGAATGTATACAGTATATACAGCAAGATATTGCAAAACTCTGCAAAGTGAGGAAGCTGCTGGCGCAAATGCAACTGCCATGTGCCCCATTGCGCCATCTGTAAATATGCCACTTTGACATCGCTAAGCGTACTGGTGAACGCCCTAAAAACATCTCTTTTTAAGCACATAGATGGCGCAATCGGAGGCAGTGTGGTAAAATAAAGATGGCTCAAAAAGAAAAATTTTGCCATCTACTCCCACCCCGGAGTAAGTCAACCTGAGCCTGTGGGTGATAACTGGTGTTCATCTGCTACCATTAGCTGTTCAAGCCTTCTGCTGCTTGTTGGGATGTGCTGTGAGTCTTGGCAACCTGCTACAGCCATGCAATCAGCCTGCAGTGAACAAGCCCTTTAATGCTGACAAGTCACATCAACCTCGAGGGCTCCTTCTGCCTTCTTCATAGCACTGGGAACTGCTAGAGTGCCACAGCTTTCTCTGTGCTTGGCTACACCCAGCTTGGGCCAGACTGCGCGCTGGCCGTGACGAAGTTTGCAATCCGCATGATCCACCAGCTCCGCGGAAAACACGCAAAACCATGCAGCTTCGCAGGCATACAAAAACATGCAAGTATTGTTTATATATAATGCTGTGTTTTGCATGGGACGGCCCCCCAATTACAAGAACAAGACTCACATCCTGTGCTGAAACAGTTTGCTTCTTCTCTGCAGGATCGACCAAGGTCTGGGGTCTGGCACACGGCACACTGAGCCACCTGCGCAAGAGATCGTCAACCAGCATGTCGGCATCACATGCTACTAGTAGCAAGAAGCTACCGAAGCAGTACACCTCGTCTTGAGGCGCTGTCGGCCGATCAAAGCTGTCAAGCGGCATATCTTCCTGGCAAGGACGTGCAGCAAATCTCCATGCAACTCGGAGTCAGCAATGCAGAAGTGTCAAACATTCCAAGAGAATGTCTGGGAGCGACACCTCTTCCATCGTCCATGGTGGTTCATCAACCTCAGTGTGGCTGTGGCGTCTGCAGCACAACTGCTGAAGTCCATTCACATGCTCATCAGATCAATAGCTCAAACATGAGCTCCCAGCATTCAGCGCCTTGCATGCTTCTGCTCTCGTTGCCCTGTCCTTCACATGCGTTCCGACAGAGTGAAATTTGACAGAAAATCACAGAAGTAATGATTCAGCTGGATTCCAACTTATATACTGTATACTGTATATTCAAAACTCAGTCAACCTCACTCATGCTGTGCATATCGCCACTTTCAAAGGTGAGCGATGCGCTTTGGCATGCTTCTGCCACGCGCACGGCCACACATCTCTGCACTGGTCACATCATGACTGGTCCAGCTTGATGACCCACAATGTACCAGTCGCCCCCTGAGGCAGGACAAGTACTGTGCGAAGCCTTTGCAAGTACCAGTGCCTCTCCAAAAAGCTTTCACGGAACGACCGCCGGGAACCAGTCACACCGACCGCGTCGGACGGGAACGTCGTCTCACGCCTCGACTCCGCGCAAAGGTGTTGGTCGCTTCATGGAGACCTCCATTGCTCGTCTCCTGGATGTCCGGCGCACGAGGGTCTCTGAAAAGGTGATTCGGTATGTTTGAATGAATGATATGTGTGTAAATGAATGAATGAATGAATGAATGAATGAATGAATGAATGATACATATATTTATTTTATATTATGTGTGTGTGATTATATCTGTGATTCTATATGATGATATGATACTATGTCACAACCTCACATAGCTGTGAAACGTTGGATAACACCCGTTAGCAGAGTGCTCGGCCGATTGTCACAACCACGAGTACAGCTCGGCAGGTGTGGTGCGAAGAAGTACTTCATCACAAAGCACCACATCCAATGGCAGAGTTTGTGCTTTCGGGGGTGGCTTGGGAACAGAAATTGGATTGCAAACAAGAATCTTCCTTGCAAACGACAATTGCCATGTCCCCTGAGGTGACCAGCACTCGCTCATCTGTGATTTGCAGCGTTGGCAAGGTTGAGCTACTGAAAATTCGATTCCAGCCTGACGGCCAGTCAGTCTGCCGCAAGAATTCCAGAACTGTCAAGCTGCATGTCAGACTTTGTTTGATGTAAGTTAAGGGTGTGCCATAATGTAACGATATGTAACGATAATTGACGATAACTATAACATTACGATATCCGATAACCAACCAACTGAGGGTCAGACTTGTCACAATCTCAGGGCGACCTTGAACTCGTCGATTATGTGGATGTGTGCAACTGCACATCATCTTAAAGGATTCGTCCGCGTCTTGGAAGACCAAAAGCGGTCCCCACTTGGTGACCTCGCAAGCCCAAAGCTTGCTCATGGCATCCAAATCCTTGCTGTTGAAGGCTGCATAAAAGGCCTCCACTTCCGACACTCAGATCGCAAGTCCGGGGCATTCGATCCAATTGGACATGATCTGTTTCGCCGTCCGGCCTGGTTCGCCTGCAAAACAGCCTCCGCGGTCTTCTGTAGCTTTGTTGCCGGGCTCACCTGAAGTATAGGTGAGGGCGCGCGATCATTTTATATACATACATGAAAGCTTCGGGCCCAATCCCCTTACAGTGGTGAAGCGTAGTCGGCAAAGCGATTGGGTGAGGGTTCCATGGAGAAAGCCATCTTCGGTACGCCTCCGGCGGCCGTTGATGATAGCTGGTCCGGCGTGGCCTCTTTTCGATCCACGCTGACCGGCGATGGGGCTTTTTGGGTCACTCTGCTGCTTCCTTGGGAGATGGAAGCTTTGGTGGCGGATTGCGGTCTTATCCCCACCGGTTGCACTAAGGTGACTCTCTATGATTGGAAGGTGTCTTGCATGGACCCCCTCATTTTGTCGGCCACCGCTTCGAGTCAGGCCTATCCATGCTCCGCTATGCCTAGGACATTTGGCGAGAACATCATTGAGCTCGCTGCTGGCAGCGGAGCTATGGGATTGGGTGCTCTCTTCATGGGAGCACGGATTAGGGTTTGCATTGAAAGCTGCAACTATGCCGTGGAGCATTTGAAGCACAATGAACACGGCTTCATCATCCATGATGACATCGGCTCCTTGGCAGCGATCAGATCGGCTCATGAAGTGCTCAATGGCCTTCCTACGACAGGCTTCTTCGGATTCCCGTGTCAGCCCTACAGCATGCAGGGTCGTCAACTGGGTGAGCAAGATGTTCGATTTGACACATTGCTTGGAGGACTGAAGGCCACATGGTATCTTCAGTTGCAGTCGCTCATTGTGGAGTGCGTTCCTATGGCCTGCACTACAGTTGCAGTTCAGGAGGCACTAGAATTGGTCTGCGGGGCCATGGGTTGGGAGAAGATTGATTTGATGCTCGACCTAAAGCTGCAGTGGCCGATGCGCCGGGCACGCTGGTGGGGCATCCTTGCCCCACCTATCTGGCTTGCAGGACCTTTTCATGGTTGGGCTACAGATCCACGCTTCCCTACGACAGGAGCACTTCTCAAGAGTTGGCCTGCATGGGCGATTGACGATGAAGATGACTTGTGCCTGACCCAAGATGAATACTTTATCTTCCAGGACGCCGCATATGGCACTGACCAACGCTGGTACGGGACGCAGCATCAACTTCCCACAATCCTGCATAGCTATGGATCGTGGTTTGGGCCATGCCCTTGCGGATGCCGACGACAAGCCATGTCCGCTGAGGCGTTGAAGCAAAAGGGTATTCGCGGTTGCTATGTGACTTCTTCATTGACAGGACAGCCTCGACTGCTCCACCCACATGAGCTTGCATTCATGCTCGGCATTGCAAGCTCCATGAAGTTCCATACCACTCCACGGGACACCCTGCCATTACTCGGCAATGTGGCATCGCCAATGCAGGCTGTGTGGGCCTATGCCATGCTTGTCAGATCGGTCAGCAGAGCCATTCCAGACATTTTCGCGATTGACCCAGCGCAGGTCCTTGACAGTTTCAAGCGTGAGCTCATTCGACAGTTCTATGGAGCCCATCATCTCGACGTACCACTCACAAGCCTTTGCATTGTGGCTGAGGATGGAGCTGAATTGACCCTGTTTGCAGCTGGGACTAATCTTGCAGCTGATCTTCTGCGTGCAGAGAAGCTTCAACTACACCCAGAAGCTAGCTGTGCCCTCTTTGAAGATGACCGTCAACTTTCCATGTTTGAGCGGTTTCCTGCGATTCCTAATGGGAGATGCTATCGCCTGCGAGTTGAAGGTCCTTACTCCAAAGTTTGCCATGACGAGATGATCGTCATCTCCCTCCAGCAAGGCCAAGAGCATTGGGTTGAGCTGCAACGTGCAGGCCAATTTCTTTTTCAAGCATTGGAATCCAAGCCATTCGAGACCACATACCTCTTTGTTGACAGCACGGGACGTCTCTTTTCACGTGATGCAAGAATCTGGCAGTCCCTTCGACTTCGCCCACTGGGGCCACACTCGTTCCCTACTTTGAGGACTACCACCACACTCGAGGCATGTGGCCACGATGGACTTCATTCCTTTGCTGCGCCCCCTTTACTGGGCTCCGCCAACGGTCCTGGATTTCCTGTCGCAGCTGCTGCGGTGCCTGGACTTGGCGCCCGCCTCATTTGGCAAGTCATGCAGTCTCTCACCCAGCACCTCAATGCTCAAAAAGGGATGGAACCGTTGCTTCTCTCACCTGAAGTTGCTGCGCAACTCCTTGACGTTTCCCAGGCTCCACATAGCCTTGGACTTGCACCTGGTATGGCATCTGGCATCCAGGAATGCTTCTGCATCTTTGCTGCAGAGGGGCATTGGGCTCTTCTATGGGGGCGCCGACATGGGCATGATCTGCATTGGACTTACCTTGACCCTCTCTCCGATGGACTTCGAACCTCAGCCTTGATTTTGGCTACCCGTATCACTGGACTTTTAGGTGGTCGGGTTGACTCTTTTCAGTACTCCACGCTGTACGTACAACGGGACTCATTTTCTTGTGGCACACTTGCACTTCTGCATATGGCTGCCGCTCTTGGACTTCCAGGGTTGCTCATGCCCAATGCGGTCAAGGCCCTGCGCCTTTGGCTGCTTCGTCACTCGGGCTCTGAAACCTTTCGGGCCAAGGGACCTGCAGATGCCTCTGCCCTTCAGCAGTTGGCTGAGTTCCTGGTCAAGCATGGAGTTTTCCCTCAGGCGGCATCAGAACGTGCTCAGCTTGTGGCAAACAAAGTCGGCATGACTGCCATCCAACAAGCCTTGAACAGCCGCAATCCCTGGGCAGCCCTCAAAGACAAGGCATCACAGCCAGGCACCTCCATCCGCCTTGTTACTCATGAGGAGTTGGAAGCACAAATTGCGGCCCGTGCGAAATCCAAGCATGGAGCTCATGTTCCGAGGGCCAAGGACAAGAAGAGCCGGACGGTAGCACCTCGCATCTCTGCTGAGCAACTTGATGTCACTATGCTCCAACTTGACAAATCACATTTCAAGGATGAGGATGGTGACGACATCCCGCAGATTCAATTCAATGAAGTACGCTCCAATGGACGGGGCATTGCCATCTGCACTCAGGCAAACGCTCGGGCTTTCATTGCGGACCCTAAGAGCATCAGCACCGATGCATTGGCACTTCTCGTGCTTCCACCACTACCTTCCGAAGCTTTGGCCTCAGCCAAGATCATCTCTATGAGATTCCCTGCCGTTTATGGTGTGCATAAAGAGCCTATGCTGATCCAAAGCACTATGGTTTGCCTGGGAGACATCGACATTCATCGGCACTATGGAGCTTCAGACACCAAGCTGGCAGTGTTGGACACATCTGTTTTCAAGGTGGTCATCTATAGAGATGAGCTTGAATCAGCTTGGGATCTCTTCATTAAGCATCCAGTGCGACATCTCACTGAGCTACTGCCAGCTCTTCAACTTTGTCGCGGTCGCAAGTGCGGCACAGACTGCCCAAAGTTCCATCCGCCTCTCGATGAGGAGATTGACGGTGCCATCCAAGAAGTTTGGGCCAGAAAATTCCTTTCCGAGTCCGGAAAGATTGCGAATCCTACGGATGCATGCATCTACCAGCTCTATCTCAGAGTGGCAGCTCTTACTGCAAATCAGGTCCTTGAATCTTCGATAGCCGGGGTCTACATTGAGCCTCGCAAAGCAGATCTCTCCGGCACGGATCCAAAGTTTGCAGTGGTATGGCTTCCCAAGTCTGACAGGATTGTCGCCATTCGTGCGCTCAAGTCCTTTGATGGAGCTCAAGCACTGGTCAGGGTCAAAGACAGATATGGAATTCGAGTTCAAGCGGCACACGCTGCCGCGGCATCCAAAGAGCTTCGACCAGACATTCCTTTCGTCGATGTACGAGTCTCCAAAGTGTTCCGGCTTCACCCCATACCCCATGGAGTACAGAGTAACACACTCCTTAAACTCTTCAAGGATTGGGGATGGACTGCCAAACCTATGCAACCTACTAAGGGATCAGCTTCGGGCTCAGCATGGGAGGTTGGTGCTGACAAGCCACCACCAAAGCCGATCATGCCTGGATTTGGAGGAGATGTGCTCATCAGTGAAGTCCGAGATCGCACTACTTCCACAGCAGCGCCTCCATCGGTCATCTCATTGTGCCATCCTCGCAAGCTTGCGCCTGCGAAACAGTCTCCTGCAGATCCCTGGCTCCAGGCTTCCAATGATCCATGGAAGAGATGGTCTGCTCCTTCGTCCTCACATGTCACCCCGGGCGCCTCCAGCACCAAACATCTGCAAGAGATGGAGACTCGGCTTCAGGCCTCATTGAAGGATACTGTGCAAGCACACCTCGAAGAACACGCCCAAGATGCCACCATGGCTAGTGATACAACTCTCCTTGCGTTCCAGCAGGAAGCCGACATGCGATTTCGGAAACTTGAAGCTGGGGTATCCGAGCTCACCGCACAAGGCCAGCAATTCAGATCCTGGTTCAACGATGTCCACAAGGGGATGGAGAACATGGGCTCGCAAATCACCGGGCTTCAAAAGACAACCGAGCACCTTGGCACGACACTTACGTCCTCGGTTGCCTCTTCAGTCAATGAAGCCTTTGATGCCCGCTTCAATCAGTTGGAGGCCATGCTTGCCAAACGAACTCGTCATGAGTGACTATGGCCACCCGGGCCTGGCGCACATGGCCAGGTGCCGGCCTTCTTGCTGACCTCTACGGTGTGGCCCTATTTGGTCCTTCTGCTGGCTCTTGGGTGTGGAGTTTTGCAGTGCTCTATGTGGCCACTTTTCTTGCTTTTCCTTCGCCTACCTTGGACAGTGGCGTCGGGCTTTGTTCCTTGGGGTGCCTACACGGCCATCACTTTTGCTTTGAACCTCTTTCATCGCTCCATGCCTCACAGTGGCATTGGCGCGATACTCTACAGAGGACCTAAGATGATCAGTTTCAGGCATACTAGTGCGCAGTCGTACACCACTGGTGGGGTTGCCTCGGGTGATCGACTGACATATGCCTCCACACGCAGACATACTTCTTCTTTTCAGCTTCTTCTACTTCTGGCCGCCATTCCACACATCGGTTGCG